ACATCCCTGCCTGAAGACGGTCCACAGGATATGTCTTCCGGTGACTCCGCCACGTCCCCGGCACGTGTGCCAAGAGTTTAACTTTAATTGATTGCATTAGTATTCAATTACATTCTATTCCCGACTCTCAGCTGCCCTACCATCGGCAGCGAATCGTTCTTTTATGCGTGGTTTCCCTGCCCATTAATAATCAGATTAATGCGCCATAAATGCTAGTTTGCCTCGAGATGATTGTCTCAGGGTCCTCGGCCCTCGGCTCTCGGCTCCCAAGTCATCATTTTTATATATAATTTCCAATTATCATAATACGCTTTGGGAGCGGCAACATGGCAGCTAAGTCCTAATGGAAATCAAAGCTGCAGAATGAATCACAATAAGAAAAGGACACTTTTGCGGTACAGGTCACAGGTGCAATTAGCCAATTAGTAGTTAAAATATTTACTTTTGTTAGCGATTGATTTAAACAGCCTGAGGACCTTCTTAATTCAATAGGAAACTTCTTATGGTCAATTGGTTTTTCACTTTATTTGATTAAATTTTTTTATGCCTATGCAAAATTAATTTAGATGTCTGGCCAGCATCATTGGCCCGAGGGTTGACCTTGCCCCAAGTTCTTTTCTTTGCTCACCCTACTGAGATCTGGTACTGATTGTAATATCTAAAAAATGACAGTCCCAAACATAAGAAGAAAGGACGTTAGTCGATCAATTCATGCCTATTCCTAGTGGGCCTGGTTTAATTTGATGGATTGTCCTGGGGTTAAACGAATTGGGCTGTTGGGTCCCTCAGAGTATGGACGGCTTGCAATTATCATAGCGATTTTATGTTACTTTCAGTCACTATGCGCTCGCAAATTATCACTTGGCTAATAAATATAAGCGTTTTATTTACGATTTGCGTCTGCTTGGCAGCTGCTTAAGTATAAATAACGCTCATTATGCGCAGCTCAAATAAGTATATATGAATGTAGGTATGCCGCCCGCCCACGGGCACATTTGGCAGCCAAAAGACAGTGTCAGTGGGACGTGGCACGTATACCGTCATCTCCGATACCCACCTCCTCCTCTATCATCCGAAATGTGTGTGTGGTGCGTTCGGCTCAGCGGTAAAGTGGTGCCCTGGCGCCCTAAGAAACAAGAAAGGAAAGCTAACTTCGGGCGGAGCCGAAGTTTATATACCCTTGCAGTTAAAACCGGATATATATCGCAAACATCGGATATAGTTGGCCGATCCTTATGGGAATAGGAATATATAATCCAATATTTTACAATACAAAATCTAAAAAAAATCCCAAACTTCTATCTTCAAAAATACGAAAGTTGATATTTCTACCAAGTACCATTTCCGATCGTTCAGTTATATGGCAGCTATAGGATATAGTCGGCCGATCCTAATGAAATTTGGTAGGTCGGATCAACTGACCAAATATATAATCTGTACCAAGTTCCAGCTTTCTATCTTCAAAAACACGAAAGTTGGGTCATTTCCGATCGTTCAGTTATATGGAAGCTATAGGATATAGTCGGCCGATCCTTACGAAATTTGGCATGTCGTATTATTTTGCCAAAAATAGCTCTCATGTCAAATTTGAACTCTCTAACTCTAAAAACACCAAAGTTATACCATTTCCGATCAATCAGTTATATGGCAGCTATAGGATATAGTCGGCCGATCCGGGCCGTTCCGACTTATATACTGCGTGCAAAGGAAAGAAGGGTGTGTGCAAAGTTTCAAGACGATAGCTTTAAAACTGAGAGACTAGTTTGCGTAGAAACAGACAGACGGACAGACAGACGGACAGACAGACGGACAGACAGACGGACAGACAGACGGACAGACGGACATGCTCATATCAACTCAGGAGGTGATCCTGATCAAGAATATATATACTTTATAGGGTCGGAGATGTCTCCTTCACTGCGTTGCACACTTTTGACCAAAATTATAATACCCTCTGCAAGGGTATAAAAATGTACTCCTAAATCTATGAAAAGTCAGCGGGCGACGTGGTTGGACTTGGTGGCACGTTGCCTTTGCCTCCTTGAACGTGGTGCTGCCGGGGACATCCGAAACCATTCTCCAAATGTATTATACTCCGAATCTAGCACTGGGACCAAAAGTAAAGGCGGCACAAAATATGCAGACCCATTTACATGAATGCCAGGTTATGCACATACACTTGAATTGTTTTTAATCAACTAAATTACTACTTAATCTTAAAGGTATGTAAGTGTTATTGCACTGATGCAATATTAAGAACCAAACAGACTACTTTTTCAAAGAGAAATGGGTTCAAAAAGCCTCTCATCAGATAGCCAATTATTAACGCATTAGCCAGGCCATCGCAATTTTTCATTCACCCGCACTGACTCACAAAGATCAAATGTCCTGGTCGTACAAATTGCATATCCTTTTCACTCCACTGGTTCATAGGTTTCAGCTGTCAATCCTGGCTCGCTTAGACTGCCGCTACTAATTAGCCGGTTTGCTTGACTTGCACTCAATTAGTGGCCCGCCTTTAGTGCCGACATGCAATTAGCCAGGCGATTTTAAATTGGCTCTAAGTCCCGGAATTGGAATCGGAAGTTTAATGGAAGTGGGGAATGGCCTCGAAATCAGCTTTAGGCCAGGCTCCAATTCATTTGCTCATTTGTCATTGCGGGCCAGGTGTAAATGCTTTAAATTTCACTTCAAATCTCATAAAAGTTTAACAAGGCTGAAGCGAAAGGTAAGCAGACTTGGGTAAAATTGCTAGCAATTACATTATTATTTGCATTCGGGGACTTTTCCGCCCCATTCGGCATTCCCCCATGCCAATGCCACTGTCTCATGGAAAACTTTCAGAGTCCTAAGTGGTTATGGTCAGGAGAAGGCAGCGGAAGGCACAGACGAAAAGCGACTGTTTCCTTATTGCGAAAAATCTTTGACCGACTCCGAGGATATTATGGCCATTGCCGGCATCCCTCTGGAGTGTGTTTTGTGTATTGGTGAGGGACTGCGGCCCGTGGATCCGCCAACTCGCCGACCCACGACCGGAGTGGGTATTCATCATTTTTCGACCGTAGTTTCCGTTTCCGCATTTGCTGATTTTTCTTGTCGGTATGTAGGTGTGAATGTGTGCGCGTCACGGGGCGAGTAAGGCAGGCAGGCCGGGCGAGCGAGCGGGCTTAAACTTTTCATAAACCTTAAGTGGAAAACTTTTATTTTATACCCATCAGAGGGACGCCGCCGTCTGTTTGGTTGTCCCCAAACGCTTTTGTTGCCACTGCCACTGGTGCTGCTGCTTCTGGTGTTTATGCCACCTATTTGATTCAGTCGGCCCGGTCGGAAATTGAACAATATGTAGGCCCAGCGAGTGGCCGCTGGAAAGTCACGTAAGGCAAAAGTTTTTCAAAATCATTTTAACGCCTTTTGAATTTTTTTCTGAAAAGTTTTTCATTTTTTTTTTGTTGCTTTTCCCAATGCGTTTCCGTTTCCGTTTCTCATCGTGAGTGGGGTGTGGCAGCGACAATCGCCTGAAAGTAGGCAATAAAAATTGTCAAACAATAAATATTTGCGGTAGGTCAGCGGGTCGCTAAAGGGGGGAGTTGACGTCGACCCTCTGAAGTGAGTTGGGCCCCATTATCCAGCCATCCCCTCGAGATACAATTTTTTAGTCAAATGGAATATATTTGTTTTATTGTTTTTATAATCGCACGAGAGTCCAAACTTTTTCTGACTCTGGTTTTTGTCGGCAATATTATCCCGCCCTGCACTAAAATCATCAACTGAATCTGAATCCTTTATTTTCAGATTTCAGTCCGAACAAAAAAAACAAGCTTGTTCGTTCGTTTTTTCTTTAATATTAATTTCTATGTACATAAATTTAGTTGTTCTCGTTGATGTTCGTGGCAACATTTTCGACAGGCTCCGCTGCATTTTAATGTCAAATGGTGGGCGTGGTTGTGGAAAAGTCATGCCAGACATTGGCTTTGACCACAACAGTTTGCTTAATGCTCTTCAGCAGCTCTTTATAATTTAATATATCAAATTTGTACTTCAATTAGCTACTTTTTCAAAGAGAATTGCGAGCTGTGTAATTAATCCATCACTTAAAAAAAAGGGCATCTACAAATTCGTCGTGATTATACCTTTCATATTTTTCATTATTCCCGTTGGGTTTTTTAAATGTTTAATTTATTTATGTATGTTGCTTTTTAAATTTATTTTGTTGCCGTCGCTGATAGTAGAAGTGGTGCTGGTGGGCAGACGTCGCTGAATCGTCCTTGCCGCGCTCTGGACATGTGCATATTTCATGACAAAATTGCATATTTTAGCGCATAGCCAAAGCCAAAAGCCAGGTCTGGCTCCCTGGCCGCCATTGCAGCCTCAGATCCTGCCGCCCCAACCACCCAATGGTGTAAATTTCAAGCCGAGTGTAACACCTTTTTGCTGTCACGATGCTTTTGGGGGCCATCGGTTGTGTCTGCTTTTGATTTTTTGCTCGGTATTTGCAGCCATTTGTTTTTTGCTCAAATTTACATACATCATTGTCATTGCAGTTCAGGACATTTTGATGAAAACAGTTAACTTTTTTAAGCCGCAAATTGAAAGAAAATAAAAAGTTGAAAAAACATCGCGAGATTGTGTTCTTTGTGTTCCTCTGATTTTGTTGCCGTTGACGGCGACTTTCAATTTTCCCAGTTACCAACCGAAGGAGGCGTCTTTCCATTTGCGATTTTGTGTTTTTGTTTTGCCTGGTTTCCCCCCTTTTTATTTTCGATGTTTGTTTAGTGAGATTGATTTGATTTGGGCAGCACACGAGCACTGAACGGCTACAATAAATTTATTTGTCCGCTCCATACTCGTTGCTTAACACAGAAAATGGCCAGCTTCTTAAATGTTTCTTCAAGAAAGAAAGAAAAATTTAACCCGAAACCAGAAGAAACATTTTTCAAAATTTAATTGGATGGTCGTACAAGGAAACATTATTTTTCTGATTTTTTTTAGAAGTTAGTGGCTCATCCATAAGTCCTGATTAGTTTTTTTAGTTGCTTTCTCGCTTTAAAGACATCAGCATAAAGGTCCCCATTTATCGATCCCTCCAAGCAGTGTGATCCGTATATATTGATGCCGCACAATGTGTCCTTATGCAGCAGGAGATCCCCCTTGGTGGTCTGGCAGTCAGCCACTTTGTTGGAGTTCCTGGCGCACAACATTGTGGCGGTGATGAAGACGGATTCGTCCTGGGCATAGCTCCGCTTACAAGCCCCATTGGTGATGACTTCGGTGCGTAGGAAACGCAGATGACGTTGTGACATGTACATGGTGACATTGTCCGGTCTTCGGAGCTGTGTGTCACAAAGTGCGACCGGCTGGACATAGGCATCCTGTACGGACACCTTGAGGACCGCCAGAGCCATGTCTTCGGTCATGCCTGCGTCTGGTCCAGGAATAATGTTTGCCACACCGTAGATGCGACTGCGGCTGGCCTGCATTTTGTAGTTCTGGGCCAGGGGTTTGTGTTTCGGCCCCTCGTCGAAGCAGTGAGCGGAGGTGAGGACCAGTCGGCCGGAGATTAAAGCCCCGCTGCAGATGATTGTGTTTCCATGGAGGACCTTCAACAGGAAGTGCTTCGTCGCTTTCGGCTTGGCTGTGCTCGTAGTGGCCTGTTCCGTGGCTAACCAATTTTCGATTCGAGCGGGAATCACTTCCAAGCTATCAGGAGAGGTGGTGGTAGCCCTAGGAGCTCTGGCATGTTGCTCCATAGATTTTTTATAAGGATATGGCACAATATATTCAATTACGCGAACTATCTGGTATGGTTTTCCATTGGGCGGCACATTGCCGACATTTATTTGTGGATACCATTCGGATGAATCAAATGCTGAGTTCCGCTGGAAAAAGAGCGCGAGAAGTACAAGCGGTAATGCCATCTGAGATATAATATCAAAATACTTTTAATCTTCATAAGGTTCAGGAACGAATAGTATTAGTCTTGCTTAAAAGAATAGTATGAAGAAAACTCACTTTGTTAATTTAGTTTTCTGTAAAATATCTTTCAGCCAGGGCTGTAGTTGGCTGAGATTTATATAAAGATCGGCATTTAATGAGTTTGCTTGGCAACGAGATCCATAAACATTTAATCCACAAAGCTGGTGATCAACCAGAAAGGCATCTCCCGGACTCGTCGCACATTTATCGGGTTTTTGAGAGTTTTTCACACAAACCATGTTAGGAGTTACATAAACAGAAGGATCCTCCTCGAAGGATTTCTTACAGGCTGCGTTTGGAATAATTTCAGACTTTCGGCGTCCATAGAAGCTAAGATCAGAACTGGCCATTAGCATGGTACCTTTTTGGCCTAATTGCAATGTTTTGGTGCACAATGCAGCTGGTTGAACATCACATGGTTGTTTCAAAGAAAGCAAGCTGAGTTCGGGGTATGCCATAGGCTTTTCCTGACTATGCACCCCCAGAGTTTTTCCATTACTTAAAATGACTTTCAGCTGATCGGTCTTCTCATTTGTAAAACAATTACTGGATGTTAGAACCAAACTAGAGGCTACTAAGGCTCCACTGCAGCGCACAGAGTTGTCTATTTTCAGCTTAACCAAAAAACTATACTCTTTCAATTGCCGGCTGCGCTTCCTGATCCTATCCCGGCGTTGGAACTCCTCCCAGCTGACTTGTTTGTACTCGTTGATAATGCGCACAATCCGCTGGTTTCTGGACAACTGATGACCCACAGAGTTCTCCTTCCCGGGATATATCTCAGTCACCCGACAATTGTCGCAGAGGGGCTCTGCTACCACATAAAGCTGACAAAAGCCAAAGCAAAGCGATGAAAGACAAACAAGCAGCGGATGCATCTCCAATCGACTGATGGCGGCGGCCAGCAGCTGACTTTTATTTATGGGGGAATTCGAGGCGCCTGTCAAAGCAACAAACGGCGCTTCGATCCACATGGCGTATGCGTAATCAAAATGTTTTGCCTGCTAAATGACAAACATAAACAGTGGACGACTGTCAGTCGGAACTCGGGCTTTGTGTATTGTGTATTTAGGGTGTCAGGTCTAATGACCAAATACGCGTTTGGGTTCCAAGTGCAATCCGATATCCTTTGACACGGTTTTGATTGGAATATTTGCCTCTATTCGAACTGTAGGTGGAGAAATACTTTAAAAAGTATACCCACATAGCTAAAAATAACCAAATTATCGAAAGGACCTCGATTCTATTATCGCCCATGTTGTGGGCGTCTTTTGTGCATTTGGAAAATTGTTTTTGTGCATTTCACTAAATTAAGAAGAATGGCGGCAGCTTCGGCTGGACCTCTGCTCATTTGCTAAATTTATGGCTGGCGCTTAAACTGAATTGACAATCAATAGTCTCGGGGCAGGAAAACCGGCGCGCGGGGCACGAGAGACACCAATGGCCATCCCAGATCGGAGCCGAGCTCATAAACAATGCGGCCAATTTACATGCCCAGGGATCGACCGCATGTGTGTGTCAATTCCAGCTTGTGCGTGTGCCTGGGCGTGTGTGTGTGTGTGTGCATGTTTGAAAAGGACCTTGTGTTGCTTTTATTGTTGTCGTTGGAAATGAAAAATTGTCCCTTTGTTGCATATAAAAACAATGGGCCGAAGAACTTGAAATCAATTTCAAACGTTTTAGGCAAAGCCAATTGATTTATTTGTTGTGTGCAGCGCTCTCACTTTTTTCCTCCTATTTTTGTCTCACTCTGCTTTTTGTGACTGTGTTGGGTGATGTGTGTGTGGGTGTGGGTGAGTGTGCGTGAGGCCATTGTTTTGTATTACTTTCTCCTTGACTGAAGCCTGGGCTTAGCTTGCTGCCAGGTCTTTGAAAGTGCCTTTATTTTCTAGAATCTAGATGTGTTTGTTTCGAGAACTTAAAGCCTTCTGACCCGAAACAATTAACACTGAGTGCCGAAAGTCAAGGGCTTCGTGCACAGCGCTGCGCTGTTTTTCGCTTTACACTTGATAAACTTTTTATTGCTTCCAAACAATTTAAAATGGAGCGACAGAGAGGACGATCTGAATTACAATAATGCTCCAGCCTGGGTTCGGTTTGTTGGTTTGATGGCGTCGGCCAATTGGCAAGACAAACTGCTGCAGCTGCTGGGAATGTGGCTGGTTCTGGTTAAGGAGCTGTGGGGAGTGGGCCAATGACAGCATTCGAATTGGTAATTGAATAAAAACAAGCAGTACGAGGAGGTCCCAAGCCAAACAATTCTCGGATGGCAAAGATGATGCACAGAAAAATATGGATATGGAATGTTTAAAGAGAGGGTTTTGTTGTTTAACTTTAAAAATGTATCCTATTTTTAAGGAACTATCACTAAGCTCACAAATATAATAGAAAATTTACCTTAAAATAAGAACAAATATAAACAAAATTACTCTACTTTAATAGTAGTCCTAAGCTAATGACGAATACCAATAACATATATACTTTGCTTTCCGATTCCTGGCATATTTTTTCCGTGGTGTGCGTTGTGTGATGTGATCCTAGAACTCTTGGGACTTAGTGTGCCTGATTGTCCACCGCCTGACACATATCGCAATGCAATGGAGCATGAAATAAATGAAGAGGCCGTCGGTTAGGATGCGACTGGAAAAGTCTTTTCCGAGCGGCGGTTTTCTTCGAGCCATGCCAATGTCCTCCCAGGACACCGCCACCGCCAATCCCAATACTGCCGATGGTCTTTGGACATTTTTACGCCTTTTATACAGTTGACTGCATAAATTCATGGGATATGGCTACGCATTTTAAACAACGCTCGTCGGCTAAGTCCGGAAACGGGAAAAATAGGGCGGAATCGGGGTCAGGGGTGAGGCCTTTGTTTTACGAAAATGAAAAGGAGCTTGGTAAACATTGGCTCACTCGTATCTTGAGCAGACAAACAGTACAGATTGTCGAGTGGATGGTTAGGACGGCTGGGGAGCTGGAAATAGCTGCAGCTTAAAGCTGATTTAGCAAAGTTGGCTTCTCGAATGGGCTCCACTTGTTGCCCTTGTGGCGGACCAAGTTTTCTTTGGGCCCCGAGCATTGCTCATTATTGCGAAATGTTTTGGGCTAAGCTTTAGTTTCAAGTTTGATTTGTTTACACATGAGTTTTGGCGAGACCGAGGGAGACTGTTTTGCTGGCAGCTAACAAGTTGCAAATTAAGCTAAAATGTGTATTTTGGCAAGAGTACAAGGGGGGCGGGCTGGTGGACAACTTGGCACACAAATACATGCATGTAAACGAGCTTAAAAACCGCACAGCCAAACGCACTAACAAGCGCCAGTAATCAGTGTTGCAGAAATAAAAGCAAAAAACTAACACCCCGCACACCCGGCTGTGTGTTGCATTTACAACAAACACACCCAGTCATGGCTGAAGGAAATCGTTGCACATGCATAGAAGTTGAAACAATAGCAGGAAGTCTGGGCCCGGGCTCTATGCTCATCATCCCCGTCATTATCATCACCAGGAGCAGCAGGGCCGGCAGCACCAGCTGCGGGTTGGACACCTCCCCCCAAAAGGCCATTGACCCAATTTCAGGAAAAACAATGGACCAGCAGAAAAGAAATCACAAAAGCGAAGCCAAATCTCGGGCCAGAGCCAAAAACCACTTGACAATCCCAACCAGAACTCCTGGTGCACAGACAAAAAAAACTAAATCCTACTTTAATCCTGCAATCCGAAGCTTAATGGTTATTTGAACTTGGTTCAGAATGTGGTTGGGTTGTATTTAAGACGATGTTCTCTATTGTAGAGCAATAAAATAGGTATCTCCATGGAAAGATTCGTTTGAACATCTATGTAAGTTATGAAGGACTTAATGATCTTAGCAAGCTGATAATAAAATATAATCCACTAGAATGAATTAAATTAAATGAATTTTCTCTGTCTGTTCATCCTGGTTGTCTGGCTGGGGCAGTGTGCCAAATGTTTTGGCTGTGAGCTATGTGTTTACCACTGGCCAGAGCCAACCCGCGGCGTCCGCCGATTCTCGTCGGACTCCCTCATTTCGGGGCAACGGCGACAAAACAAGTGAAAGTTTATTACATCTCCAACCAGCCGGCCAACAGCCGGAGAGCAGGAAAATCAATAAAATGCAATTGCATAGCAACTGACCCACATAACCCCAGCCCAGAACTCCAGGCCCCCAGAGCTGATCAGGCCAGTTCATGGCCCAGTCCTGCGGCAAGGTTCTGTGGCAGAAAGACGAGGGGCAAGTCAGCCTGTGGCTGAGCGTAATTGTGCCAAATTATAAATTATTTCGAATTTGCTAGGGCGCAAGCGATGCTCCAAGGCGGTGGTCGCAGACGCCACTCCCGGCGTCGGTCCCTGCAATTAATTTTGTGCAGCGAGCGCCAATTGAATGGCGGAGCGAAGGGCAATCGGTAGTGGTGGTAGTACTTCTTCGAGGGCAAAGGCGAGGCGCATAGTTTAAATTTCTAATTAACAGTCAAATAAATTGTGCCAGCTGCCAGCGTCGCGGCAATTGAGCCGTGCCAAGTGATTTTATGGCTAAAATGCTCATTAAATTAACGGCAATTTGCTGCCACAGACAAATGCATCCAGCCAGGTGAGAGAAGGCCAAGGAGCAAGCAACAATCCTTCAGGATTGCGAAAGGAATTGCTCCGCATTAGAGGCTCATTTAAGATTCGTTTAGTTCCACTAATGAATAGCGACTATTAGGCCAAGCTGCTCTGACTTTAAAGCCATTCAATGGACCTTTGATTAGTTTAGCCTCGGCACCACTGCGTATACGCAATATTTGTCAAACCAAATTGTCAAAGAAGTGTGCGCCACTCAACCAGAAGCGTGTGCAGCGAATGAAATTGAATTTCTTATCATCGCTGTAGTAGTGCTTCAGTATTTTTTATGTTAAGCCGGGCGTACAGGGGACTGTTGGAGCTATATCTTTGGCACTTTGGCACCGGCTGTGTGCTCGGCGAAAAACATTCAATTAGTTTGATTTACACTTTTCAAAACGCCCGCCCTGCGCTCGCCCGCCGGTGGGCGCCCCTTTGCCAAAGCCTCTGCTCCCTTTGTGCGACTGTTGGCGTTTCCGTTTCCGCTGTTTAACAAGCGACTTTTGGCAACGGCTACAAAAACAACAATATCAACAACAGGATTGACTGAAGGATACCGAGGGACAGAGCACGGGCGGGGGCACCATGAGTAGCTGCCAGTGCCAAAACCGTGTACGCCATTGCGTGCCAAAAAAGGCAGAGCCTGATGCCGCTCAAGGCATTCGCTCAGGGTGCGCAGCTTCCCAGCTCCCTTTGCCAGCTCTCACATTAGTTCTTTCCCTTTGTCCCGATGGTCCAGCACAGTTGGCCAAGTACAAGCTTTGAAGGGAGTCAAAAAAATATATTTAAAAAAATTAAAAATAAAATGAATGAAATTAATATTAGAGAAGATACAAGAGATGGGCAGCCATTTTATTCACTTTGTTAAATGTTCATCCCACTGTGCTGGGCCTGGAACGGAAACAGTTCGCAGCGTGCCTGCCTCAATATTAGTTTGGAGCTGAAGTAAAACGCTTCCGGCAGCCAAATGTCAGCAACTGGCAGAGCTTGGTGTTGTTGGCCAGGGCCATTCGATGATTTTTCAATTTGCATTTGACACAGAACGAGAATGTCAAAGACCAAATTGAAATGGCAGAAGAACTGAGACTTATAATCATATGCAGTCCTGGAATTGAGCCTTGAAAGTCCTTGGAGTTGGCTGCTCAATCTGAATCTGAATCAGAATAGGAATCAGGCTTTGACTTTGTTCCCAACTTGTTGGCTTGGCTTTCAATTAGGTAATTGAAAGGTGGTGGCCGGGGGAAAGGGTTCATGTTTAAG